ATATGGTATACTATAATATATTGGGAATATTTATTATTAGGGGGGTGGGGGGGTTTATTATTAGGGGGAGGGGATTAGTTAGTTTCCATTTTCTTTTCCATTATCCTCGTATAACCTAACCCCAATATACTATAGTAGTTTCCATTTTCTTTTCCGACCAGGTCCTGGGCACGTGAAGGATGTTCCGCCAGGAGCCCCGGCCGCTGCATCCGCTTCTGAGGAGGCGCCAGGGTTTTGGGTGTAGGGGGGTTCAATGTGTAGGGTTTAATTTTTAGGGTTGAGGACTTGATGTCGTTCATAATTAGTGTGTTGTTTTGGTGTTGAAATCTATCGGGAGGCATGGGGGGTTGTGGGGTTTAGGTCAGACGGTTACTGTAGAAGCCTGATGTACTACAAAATTCCCCTCCTGCTCATGATATCCTGACAAGCTATATTACATGGATCGAACACCACATTGTAATTATTCACGGCTTCAGCTTAACCTTTCAGCTCAGTTATTCGCACACCTTAACCCTGAACCCAAACTCTAAACTCCCTAAACCCTAAGCCCTACACCCCTAAACCCTCTAAAACCTAAACCCCTAAACCCTAAAGCAGTGAGCTAGAGGGCTTTTGGATTTATAGTTCACCTTAGGGTTTAGGGGTTTAGGGTTGAGGGTTTGGGGTTTAGGGTCTACCGTCAACAGTCCCCCTTAAGTAGATAGAATATAAGGTATATGGGGATCTCATTATACTTTACCCAAAACCGTATTCTATCTACGTAAGGGGGACTATAGGCTTTGGGGCTACGGGGAGTTTGGAGATCCTTCTCATGCATCCGCCCGGATTCGACAACCTGAAGCCTATGCATAGGGTTTAGGGTTTAGGGCTTCGGGATGCCCAGGACCCACATGCCCGAGAAGCCCCAGCATGTAAACTGTAGACATATCAGTGCAACTTGAGTCCAACAAACATATGTACATGTATGTATATATATATATAAATGTATTTGCAGCCGATTTTCCCTGAATGCATGTACTAGATACGTATGTATATATATATATATCTATACACATCTGCTCCTGCATCGCAGTTGCTCAAGATAGTCCTTGTCAATCCTTCTTCAGGGGACCCCATCATCCATTGTTGATCCCCACATATCCCTGGGGTCCCCCTGCTGAGAAACTCCCACATATGCATGTGTTTATATAGTCCCCTGTAAGGAGATAGAATATGGGGTATATGGGGATCCTATTATAGTATAGCCAAAGCAATATTCTATCCATCTACGGGGGTTCCATATTTATGTATATGTCTGTATGTATATCTGTAACTCGATAAATGCAGAAGTAGAAAACTCTCCCCTATGCCCAAACCTGTGTGGCATGTGTACTCCTTCTTCCTAAACCCTTAAACCCTAAACCCTAAACCCCCAACTCAGACACTGGTCACTAGACCCAAAGCCCGAGCAAAACTGAGAGGTCTTGAGTGCCATTTCATCTGCGGAAGGCGCAGGTTGCTGGACCTTGTGCCAGGATTTCTGGGCTGAGGATTTAGTGTGCCGTGGGGCGTATACGAGCTTCCATGGTCTGTTCCATCTAGTCAAACGTCAGTTCCAGGTAGACAGCCTGAGGTTTGCATGAAGCCCTCATTTAAAGGTAGCCAACCTGCTCACTGGGGGGTTCTTCAATAAACCACAAACTGTAATCGGGAGAGTTGCTGGCGTTGATATCGTCCTACATGACCCGTACTACCTTATACTTTATGCAGCTACCTTATACTTTGGGAAGTATGGTGCTCGATGCCAAGGCCCCTCCACTTTACAGACACGATTATCAATTTGCTCCACCCTCAGGCCTAACGAAGGGGATGCTGCCGTCGCAGACCTTCTAATGGGTGCATGGCTTACTTTGGGTACCTTAAAAACAAAACCCCAAGCCCTTAGCCTTCACTGCTCAGCAGAAAAAGAGCGCTTCAAAGACAAATCTTAGCTCGAAACCCTCAACCAGGCGATGCGGTCCTTCCTGGTGGCAGCTCATTTGGGCCTCGCTTCAGCAATCTCTCCCAGCCCCTCGGAAGGAGTTTGGGCTTAGGTTTTGGGGCCTAAACCCTACACCCTGAATCCTAAACTATGCGCCTTGGGCTGGCTAGACGAGCTAGAAGGTAGTACTCCTAAACCCGAAGCATTCGCCCTTAACCAGCCCTGTGTGTGTCCATATATATATATGTATATATACCGTACATATGTGAGTGACTGCATATACATGCTATACACATATTCTGGATTTCGCCAAGCCCCAATGTTCAAATTTCCTGAGGAACGAACTTGCGGCAGCAAGGTCGAAGTGGCAGCTAGGGTCTTACCAAGAAAACATTTTTTGTTTTTGCTGCGGTTTAGGGTTTAGGGTTCGGGAATTTCTTTCCCTGTTGCAGTTAGCTACTTGAGAAGCCCTCGGCCAGCTTACAGAAAATAGCAAGGTAAACGACAGAAACGTTCGCATTGATGGCCGCAGCGGTGCGTAGATTTTGGGGCGAAGCGCGCGAAGACGTGAAGACGTGAGGTTCGGTGCGAAGACGGGAAGCGCGTGAAGACGTTAACGTCGTCAACG